TCTCCCCGGGAGGGGTTGAGGGGTCTGGCAGTTAGAGTAGAGTTTGGTGTGAATATGGTTATTTATATCCGTTCCTATCAATTTCGGCCGTCCATCCCGTTGATCTGAACCGTCTGATCGCGATTAAATAGGGAGTGAATCTGAACTGTTCATCGCGATCTAATTTGGACTATTTGATCGCATTTAAATAAAAAATGAATATGGACCGTTGATCGCGTTTAAATTTGTCCGTCCAATCGTGTTTGAGGAGGGAACGCATCCCGGCTGTCTGTACGCGCGGGAGCGAATCTGGACTGTTCGATCGCAGGCAGGTGGATCGCCCGTGTGGCCTCTTGCGTGGCACCACATTAGCATCCGTTGCCACGCGACGCGTTCCAGTTCGTCGGGATTGCTTACTGGGCATCCTACATGACACAACTTTTTTAAATTATATTTTGACCCATAATTTTTGATTTTTTTTTTCAAAAATACATTCAGACCCAATTTTTCACATCTTTTTTCCAAAATTATTTTCAATTTCATCATTTATTAAATTTTTTTCATTTTTATACTAAATTAAAATTAAAAAAATTATATTTACAAATTAATTTAAATTACATAAAAAATTTAATTTGGGTATTACATATATATACTATTTTCTAATGTCATATAATAACTTCATAACAAATGTTTAGGATAAAATGGAAAATTGCTAGGAACACAAGTATCATTACTTTGTCCATACTCATAAATTCATCCTAGATATATAATTTATTTTTCATATCGGTGACTAATTTCGAAAACCTAGATCTATAAATGATTTATTAGTAAATATTTTTATATTTTATTTGAAAATTACAATTTTAAACTTTATTTAATATAAAATTCATTACTTTATAAATATATTATGGATTAATAATAATAAATTTATAACGCTTAAACAGTATAATCAAAATATTAGTTCAATAGTATGTTACTGAAAATATTGATTGGATTAGGTAATAAAATTGAGTGAGTTTATTATATTTTTTTATAATGATTAAATTTAAATAATTACGACGAAAGAAAAATTTAATTTAATCATTAATTTATTAATAAAAAAATTGCTTGCAAAATGCATATTAAATAACAAACAAGAAAAGAATTTTTAAATAAAGATATAACAGTAAACTTGAATTCACAATAACACACGTGAATTTAAATTTCTTTATATTTATAATTGATATTGTAATTTTGACATTGCAATACTTTGATTTATTTGTTGAGATATATTTTTTTTTCTAAATTATAATTTTTTTGAGGTTATGCCGGGTACGTGCATGTCACAAAAAAAAAAAAAAAAATATATATATATATATATATACACACGTAGATAAACATAACATTGCTTATACAATATAAATACATATATATATATATATATATATATCATCGTGTACAGCAAGCGATTATAAAACTTGTACACAAGTGAGTTGAAGAAGCATTAAAATAACAAATGACAGTGAAATGCTATTTAATTTCCAAATAAAATCATTAGTTTATTTATAATTGAAATAAGTGACCAACTCTTTTTAAAAATATCTATAAACTTTAATAATTATTATACATTTGTGATTGGTTTAATCTCATTTAATTTTTATTCACTCTGTAAACTTTAATTATTTAATGCGTTTAAATTCTTAAATTTGTATCATCACATTTTAAATATCGAACCACCAAAATAAAATTAAAAATATTTAGCATTCCCGTTCAAACTTGTATAAAAAGTCGTATACATAATTTATCGTACAAAATGTGGAAAATATTATAAGTAATTTATTAGTGTCCAGAGGAAAAAATTAAATTGAATTTTGCTTTTATATGACAGAGTTTGGCGCGTTCAATTTTATTTTAACCAGGAGAAAATTAAATTGAATTCGTTTTTTGTGTTGATCACGCAAGATCATGAAGAATCACAATCGGACACAAACGTGTGGACCTGATTAACCCAATCCCCAATCTCCCCGTCTTAATCTTTTCATATGATTTCTTCTTCGCTGGACCCCACCTAACGTCCGTACTGAGAAGTTAAACAAAAAGTGTTATGAGAAATTATCACGTACATGCAAGACATTCCAAATTCATGAATTATTGCATTTTGAAAAAATTAAAAATTATTTTCTCTTTTGATTTTCTTTTTCTTTAATAAAATGTAATAAATTATGATTTGGATGGCAAGTACCAACCCATATGGTAATAATAAATTCCATCAACAGACAATGAATCCCCCCATTAATGGTAAAATAAATTAATTGCATTTTTTTTTTTGTTCCCTTTAATTTCTCAAAAAATCATTATCTTTATTTATTTTTTTCCTTGAGAAAATGTAATTAGGAGGCCTAAATTTTATGGTATTAAAATTATTTTGCATTTTGTTAGGCGGACAATATAAAATATAGTGATTGTTGATTTGAAAAAACAGTTTAACCTATCCGATTTTGCCACGTGCACATGAGTCTGATTTTATTGACGACACAGGGTGGCAGTACATGCATGTGAGCCAGCCAGCCAGCCACCCTCTCCTTCAAAAACGGCCAACACCCATTCTAGGCTCTCGCCGTCCCCCCTCTCATTCTCTGCAAAAACTGTTTATTTCACAAGGCGGTTCTTTTGAGTTCTTCGTTTTCTTGTTGATTAGAAGCAGAACTCGGAAGATTTTCGTATCTGGATTTTCTCCATTGAAGAAAACGAGATCTTGGCGCTGTAATCGTTTTCGGTTTAACGAAAAAAAGATAAAAACATCCATGGCGACGAGAGGATTCGTGCTTTATCTTCTTTCAGGATTTTCTCTTGCGATTCTTTCTGTTTTCTTCCTCAATAACTCTACTGAGAGAAGCCCATATCAGCCTCTTGCTTTTTCTGCGAACTCAACTCTATTGCTTGCGTCTTATGGATCATCAAATCCCGGCAAAGAAAAAGTTTGGCCTGTATGTCTGTTTCTGTTTTTTTGTTCCCCGAGATTATTATTATTTTCCTTTTCTTTGCATGTTTATGGGAAAGTTAAGAACAGGGTATGCAGTTTTTTTTTATTGAGATGTTTGGTTTCCGGTGCAGAATTTGGAGTTCAGTTGGAGAATTGTGTTGGCGACGATGATTGGATTTCTGGGATCTGCATTTGGAACTGTGGGTGGGGTTGGTGGCGGAGGCATTTTCGTACCAATGCTTACTTTGATTGTCGGATTCGATACAAAGTCTGCTGCTGCTCTTTCCAAATGTAAAAATCTTAGCTTTATACATCATGGGTTTTGTTTGACTAGTTTTCTTTACTTCCATTTTCTTTTTGTCTGCTATGCTTTCATCCAGAAATGATGTGATTTGGTTCAAAGAATATTGAATAGTACCATAGGAAACAAAGTCCATTATTGGGGAATACAAAAAAAAAAAAAATCTTTTCTTTCTGTTTGTGGCGACAAAAAGTTGGTTTTTTTTATTGATGATGCAAGAAGAGAGACTCTAGGAGAGGATCAGATTTTTAATTTTCTTCTCTTTTTGGGTTTTTTTCCCTTTTGCTTGGAGGTTTTAAATCTCGACCGTGCTCTTGTTTCTTAAACGGAAAAGAAGAGTTAACTAAAGAAACTAGTTTTTGCTTGTTTTTTTGTTAATTTGCAGGTATGATAATGGGGGCATCAGCATCATCAGTTTGGTATAATCTAAGAGTGCCGCATCCAACAAAGGAAGTACCCATCATAGATTATGACTTGGCACTTCTATTTCAGCCTATGCTCATGCTTGGCATCACTATTGGTGTTGCCTTGAGTGTTGTCTTTCCTTATTGGCTTATCACTGTGCTGATCATTATACTCTTCATAGGTATGTATTTGGAAGATGGTTACCTTCCCTTCAATTTTTTTCCCCTAAACAGCTACATATTTGATTATAACCCCATTTTTGTCCGTAGCTTCTCAAAAATGGGTTAAATTTCTTTTCAAGAAAATTTTTTTATTATTGTTTTTCTGATGAACAGGGACCTCTTCAAGGTCTTTCTTTAAAGGGATTGAAATGTGGAAAGAAGAGACAATTTTGAAGGTAAGTTGAGATAAATTAGAGACAAAGTGAAGTTCTTTTTACTTCAAAGTCAAACTCACTCAATTTTTTAAAAATTTGCATTCTAATATCCGGAAATGCCAGAAAGAGATGGCCAAGCGACAAGAAGCTATAGTAAATTCCCGCGGTGAACGTAAGTCACGTGGTTGCACATATTCTCTTTATTCTTTGTTCTTGGTTGCATCAACTTTTGAAGCCTTGAATTGTAACCAATGTTAATCTCTTGCATTTTGTGTTTCTGCAGTCTTAATTGACGCAGAGTATGAACCTTTGGTACCTAAAGAAGAAAAATCAGAACTAGTAAGCAAATACTGGTGTAAATTTTCTAATGTTATGTGATTTTCATCCTCCTAAATTTCGTGAAAACTGAACACAACTTTCTTTATCTTCCAGCAAATTGTGTGTTTCAACCTTAGGTGGAAAAGGCTGCTAGTGTTGGTGGGTGTGTGGTTCTGTTACTTACTAATTCAAATTGTCAAGGCAAGTAAATCTCATCTCATTTTCTCTTTAATATCTCATACTTTATATCGTAATGCTAATATAGTGTTGTTTATGCAGAATAATACACCTGAGTGCAGTACATGGTACTGGGTCCTGTTCTCTTTGCAGGTACATTAACTGATAAAAGCTCAAAACTTTATGTTTGCATTTAGTTAAATTCCTAGAAATTCTAAATTTTTATTCTCATATTAGCTTTGATATGCATATTCAGAATATAATTTATAGTATTTGAGAAGATGAGAGTTGAATTCCCTCCATCAAAAAATTTATTAAGACTTGAACCCTATGCAGCTTATTGGTTTTTTAGGGACTTATGTTTGGGAATTCTTTTGTGCTGTGTTTCAGCTTCCTGCAGCAATTGGAGTATTTGCATTTGAAGCAGTAAAACTGAACAAAGAACACAAGAAGAGAATCAGCACAGGAAACACCGAATCAATTTGTGAGGCTTCGATTGAGTGGACTCCGATGCACCTTGCATTTTGTGCACTTTGTGGTATCATAGGAGGAACAGTTGGGGGTCTCCTGGGCTCAGGAGGAGGTTTCGTTCTGGGGCCATTATTGCTTGAGATTGGTGTTATCCCTCAGGTATGATCACCTGTTTCAACTCCAATTTCTAAGGTTTGAACTTCTGTTTACTGGGAAAAGAAATATAACATTAGATAGATGTTATTTGTGAATACGAATACACCCTTCAAGTGCATTTTTTTTTTTTTATGTCAGTTCTTTAACATCTACTTTTTGATTCTTTGAAAGAATTTTTTATTCTTGAACATCGAAAGAAATATAACATACTTTGTGGTTTTCCACAGGTTGCTAGTGCCACAGCAACATTTGTGATGATGTTCTCTTCATCTTTATCTGTTGTCGAGTTCTACCTTCTCAAGAGGTTCCCTATTCCCTACGGTATATTTCCTTCCTGTTTCCACTTAGCTTTTGCCTTTATATAAACCCAGATGCATCTGTATTATAAATATCAAAGACACTGATGCTAATGATGTGTTCTTATTTGTTTATTTCCTCGTTTTCTTTTTCAGCTTTATACCTAACGACAGTGTCTATCTTAGCTGGTTTTTGGGGACAATACTTTGTAAGAAAGTTAATTACAATTCTTAAGAGGGCTTCCCTGATTGTATTCATCCTCTCCGCTGTCATCTTTGCCAGTGCTCTCACAATGGGTACGATGAAAAGTTCAAGAATTAAAGTTTATAATTTAGATAGTTCCTGGTCAGAATTTTCTTACCTGCTTAAAACAACAACAGTTGATTCTCTTGGTTCTTTTTCATGATCCAACAGGAGTCATTGGTATCGAAACAAGCATCAAAATGATTCGTAATCATGAGTTCATGGGATTCTTAGGATTCTGCAGCAGTCAATGATCATTGACAATGAATGCAAGAAGAAAACGCGACGGGGATGTTGGCCAATTCCTAGTTGACCAGCACAATAAAAAAAAAAAAAAAAAACAATGGTATCAATATTAGATTCTGGACTCTTGAAATGAAGAGAAGAAAATGCAGAAGGGTAATTCTGGGAAGTGAGAGTTTTTCTGTGGCCAATTCATAGTTGACCAACATTGAAAAGCAGAGTCTGGTCTTAATAATCTGTATGCAGGACTAGCTAGTTGCAGACTAGTGTTAGCCTCTCGCTGACACCATTAGCTATATATATATATATATATATATATGTTCATTGTTGTGCTGCAATTTCAGCATTAGATTGGAGATGAATTGGGTGGAATATTTCATTGAAGTTCCTCAATAAATCCAAAAGTTACTCTCTATTTTTGGTGTTCAATTATTTTTCATGGTGAATGAGATGGTAGGCAGAGAGTTGGTGAGAAATGACAGGCCTTTTTAACTGGTTAGAACTGAGATAAGACGGTAGTCCAAAATGGCATGCGCTTCATTAGTGAGTCTGTCTATTCTTTTAATTAAGATTTTTATAACGAAGAGAGTTGAAAATTTAATTGGGAAATTTTGTTTTTTTTTTTAAATTCTCTTTTCTTTTGAGTAATCTTGTGTTTTATCATTTACTAATTGTGTTCTACAGTACTTTTATATGTATTTTTCAAATTATTTTTTAAAATATTTAAAAATAGTTTAAATATTTTAATTCCTTTTTTTTTTCGAAGAATAAAAAGAAAGTTGACTGAGGTCAAATTATAAAAAATATAAAAAGCAAAATTTTGGAGAAAAACGTGCTACATTTCAACGAGTAAAAAAAAAAAAAAAAAGGACAATTGTTCTCGTAATAATGTGTGGGACCATCTTATCCCCTACGGCCCACCCAGTCCTGTTTGTTACATACCACGTGGTCGATCCAATTAAATTTCTTTTTGACCAAATTCAACGAAAATAGTTATTAATTTATGCAACACAAATTTTGAATTTCTAATTGAATCCATGTTGGTGTTTTCTTAGAAGCATATGATTAATGAACGGACCAACCTGTTTGGTTCAAAATTAATTATTTGGGCACGAGGATTGACAGGCAGCTATTTAATTATGAAACACCCGTCCGATTGATGACTACAAATTAATTTATTTTATTTTTTTTTAAAGAAACCGAGTTTTATAATTTCAATTAGTGAATTGAAACCAATTGCCGCAAGCAACAATAATAGTTTTCTGAAATTTATTTATATAATCCAGCAGCAATAAACAAAAAAGAAATTATAATATTAAGGAATAGTCCATTTAATAAATAATTATTAACTTACTAATAAAAAATTATTGTTAGATGGTATTTGGACCATACATAAAAATTTGTTTTATTACTTAATAATTTAACAATAATCTGACTTTCACCGTGACTATAAAATACCATTGCCATATATCATGATAAAACCATCTCTTCCTTCAGCCTTCGAGATATTGCCTATGGATAGGCAAGTTAACCAGATATGAGAGCAAATAATTAAGCAACTAAATGACTTGCTGCTTGCAAGTTACTTCGTCGATGAGTAAAGGTACTAGACTAGTTTCGGATTTAATCCTCAGTTTACGAAACTGGCTTGGCCGGCAAGGAAGAAAAGATGCATTAGCAACATGATTCACAAAGACATGCATTAGTATCAATAGTTTCGGTATCACGAATGGCAGGCAGTACAGTGAATCTCATTAAACAATAACAATGTCCACAAACAAGAGAGATTTTTTTTTTTTTTTTTTGTGAAAAAGGCCGGTTTGGTTTGGCCAGTTTGGTACATTAGAAAGTTGTACACTTCAATGTACCTCTGGTTTAAAGTTGGATTCTCCCTTTCGCCTCACCATCTATCCTGTTGGGCCCATCTCTGTTCCAATCAAGTTGGTTTGTGGCTTAGAAAACAAATGCTATTCCTCCTATCTTCCATCCGAAATAGAGATTCCAAAGTTGAAACATTGGCAGGAATGTTCATGTTTATGTCCCACGAGAACACCAAAATCCACTGGAGAACTTCACTGCCAAAGTGAAGCAGCAGAGAATCCTACCTAGAAGAACTCCCAGTGGCTGCACCTGCAATGAATGATTTAGAATCTGGTTTAGAGCCAGAGTTTGAATCTTTGACTGGTTTAGAATCTGTATTGATAGCGATATTCCCCATTCCAACTTCCATTGCCTCCCTCTCATCCTTCTCCCTCTTCTTTTTCTCAGAACTGGTACTAGCTTGGTCTTGAGAAGACAAAGATGGCCCCAAAAGGCAGGGACCAGCATTTAGCCATGGATGAGCAAGACACTGAGCAGCAGTAGGCCGTTTCTCAGGGACAAAATCAAGTATAGGGACAAGGAAGTCAGTCATGTCATTTGCATCTTGCTCGCTGAACTCATACTTCTCAATGAGAACCTTGTTCAGGGGCCAGAAACGCAATCGTCGAATGTGCCTGAGATCACCATATCGATTAAAAAAATCTCGGGAGTATCGGCCACCTAAAGCAATCTGAGAATGTTGCACAGATGTTTTGAGTCAGACACAAATGTCTTGCAAATCTAAAGAACGGTGGTGTTTATAATTTTCTCACCTTTCGAGGCATCATCCCAAGAAGCTCCATCATTAAAGCCAAGTGGTCCTGAATATAGTGCAAAACACATTATGATGGTATGCTTAGGCCTTAAAAGACAATGCTTTCCAGCTGATTCGGTTAAATCTAAAACCAGAGTGTCCACAAAAGAACCACATAAATAATGCATGAGGAATGCAGGACATCCATTCAAGACTTCCCCAATGTTTCTCATCTATATATTTAGTTCAAAAATAAAACCCGAGGAGCAATGATATCAATGCAATATGGCATTTATAGTGAAAGCAGATAAGTAATTTCAATGCTCGAAATTCAAAAGCTCCATAAAAGAGGAAAAGAAGGAAATGAAATGACAATTTCGAAAGAATAGTTCCTTAAAAGAGTGAAAGCATGTACATAATTTCTATGCTCGAAATTCAAAAGCTCCATAAAAGAGGAAAAAGAAGAAATGGAATGATGCTTTCTAAGAATAGTTCCTTAAGATGAGCGAGAATGAAATAAATGTGTGAAGAGTGTGTAATTAGGCTAAAGGACATTAGGGTATGATAATACTCTATGTAATTAATGTAATCAATGATTTATTTCCTTTTCTATTCTAAGAAAAATTACATATATAAAGTTGTAATATTTAATAAAATACACATTAGTCATTCTTCACATTGTATTATAACCAAGTTAAGAAATCCTAAACTTTTTTACAAACCCTATTCGACATTCATTGTCGAAATAAAAGAACCATAAAAAGGGTCAGCCTTCATTACTAGCCACCACAACTCTAGCCGCCGCCTTCATAGGAGACCTTAGTCTATTTGGGTTCATATGCCATACTTAGGGTTTGTGGTTTGAAAAACTTCATCATGAGTCTTAACTCTTCATTTAGGCCACTAATGAAGAAAGATATGAAGTAAGATTCACAAAAGGGTTTGTTTTCACGTTACTGACCTTAGCTCTTCAAACATCTCTTGAAAGAACTTTCTTGCTTCAATTTTTGAACTCTTCTACAACATCTGCTACCGAGCGGTCTCCGAATCTCATCCAAAGTTTTCTTCAAATACCTCCCAATTCATGCCTCCATGGTGCTTGTCACCGCTGAAACCAAATATCTTTTTCTCTCCAAAAGACAGGGTGACCACCTCCATTTTTTTATCGTCATCCACTCCATAGACAACTTCCAAATATTTCTTGCATCTTCTCACCAAGACCTGGGGCTAACTCCTTTAAAGATAGGAATGTCAATCCTTGGTGTGTTTACCCCTAAGGCATTAGACAAGTAAGTTAGGAAATGACTACTCCCTCCTTTTTTCTTTTACTCCTGGAGTGGGTAAGAGGCCTTGGGACACCTGGGAGTAGGAAAAGGTTTAAGCTTGAGATGGATGTTGGTTTGGATGAGGGGCTGGCGTGGATTCTGGCAAGTAGAGTGGGGGTTGCCACGACGGACCAAACTGTGTCAGCTATAAATAGCTGTAGCCGGGCATTATTTTCAGCCAACTTGGCGTCGAGCTTGACCTCAAGCTTGGCATCCATGGACTTATAGATTCCAGTCATGAAGTCCTAGATTCTCCTCTCCATGCCACGCAGTGAGTCTTCCATCTGAGCCATCCTGTGGGCATTAGTCATGGTGGATTTTCCCTTGTTTTTGGCCAATCCACTAGTGTATAAGTTATAGACCGTGGTGCATTGGTTTATTGGGAATCAATTGGGTAATGGAGGGTAATGTAAGGGACAACATTTGGGCTTGGAAGGGTATTAGCAATGGGAAGAAAAAAGTGGGTCTCATTCCCCTTGCTAATTTTCGGGTTGTATGGAAAGAAAAAAACATGAGAGCTTTCAAGGGAGTGGAAGCCAACTTCGATCGAGTTAGAGATAGATAGTTTCAGACCTTGGGTTCATTGATAATGGTTCATTCTTTACAATCTATAGAGGCTTTTGGGAATTTTCTTGATATCTTGCTTGAATTGTAAATTATTTTGTACATGAGTTGACATTCCTTTGGTGCTTGTAAACAATGATACACATCGTATATTTTATTTTAAAAAATGTATTCCTCCATGCCAATGATTAGTAGTCAACTCTTTGATAACTATTCCAAGAGAACTAATAGTTATTTAATTTTTTCACCGAACCAATCTCGTTCGATTTATTTTTCTACATATTTCTTCATATTGATCTCTAATTTCTCCTATCATATCTTTATTCTTCCGTTTCTCAATTAACTTTTTCTATTTCTAAACCATTTACATGATTAGTTCACCCACTAGTCATCATGGATCATTGTTATTTGGTGTGCTATTTTTTTCCATAATGCAACTGTATGGAGAGAAAGGGAGTTTTCATAAAATTCTTAGGATTCTCATACAGATCTATTTGAACTAAAACAAGTACTTCTAATATTCGGGAACCCTTATCCTGAAACCTAAACGAGTCTCTTTTCAAATTTCAACTACTTGGAATCTCTTAGCCAAGAAAAACATGTCTGGGTAAAAGATGCCAGAGAGACATCTTCAACTCCATGAAGGAAATCATTTCTAAATGCTAATGAAGTAACACGTTTTTCGAATGAGAGAAACTCCTATTCTCCCAGAAAGTTTTGATTATTGCACAGAACCCATGCCCCAAAGGGATTCACTGACTACGTACCTACTTATATTGATGAGTTTATATTAGTACCTACAATGATATTTCCTGCATTTTGTTTCACTCCTAATTAAATAGAAAACAAAATAAACTAGATTAAACTTTTTCTTTGAGAAGAAAAGGGATAAAAAAATATTGAAGTTTGTCGACATTGTCATCAGAAATTCCTCGAGAGGAATATCATAGCTGAAGGCACATACAAAGGAGAGTATGCACACGCAAAAACCCCTTCCCATTGCTAAGCTAAATTAAAATGTTAAGCAGAAAGGCTGAGTGATATTAATATATAAAATTCAGAGGTCAGAAACGATGAATTCCATGATCTTCCATCAACATGAAGAAAAGGATAAAAGAGAATGCTAAGAAGAATATTCATTACAAGCTTAAAACACTGGTAATAGAAGGTTAAGAAAAATCCATACCTCATCCCTATCAAAGTTGTCGCCACTGTGGGGATCAAAAAGTACATCCCCCGTAGCAAGCTCAAAACATATGCAAGCAAATGACCATAGATCAGCTGATGTAGAATATTTAGATCCAAGAATCACCTCTGGACACCTGTACTGTCTTGTCTGAATATCATTTGTAAATTGTTTGTATGTCCAACATGCATTACCAAAGTCAACCAATTTGCACTTGAGATCAACAGAACCCAACAGCTTCTTCCTATTGGACCGGCTCCCCCTCTTTGTATTTTGATTTTCTTGCCCCACACCCTTTGCTCCATCAGTATCTGATGATCTATTTGCAGTGACAGAAGTAGAAGGATGGGTTTCAACTGATCCTTCATTAGCTTTCTCGTTAGTTGATGATCCTACTGCATTAGATGTTTCATGGCCTGCACCATCTTCAGCAGAAGCTTCCTTCTCCACACACCCTTGAGCTGCTAGTTTAGCCTTTCTTCGGATCTTTTTCTTCTGATTCCTAGTTAAATCCCCATTTGAAACCTTAATGTCTACGGTCTTATCCTTGCTATTTGGAAGAATTAGAGGGGCACCTGACTTTCTAGGGTCCTTAGATGGATCTATCATCGACAATAGCAAAATGTTTTCTGGCTTTAAATCAGTGTGTATGATAGAAAGTTGTCTATGCAAGTAGTCTAGACCCACCAAAACATGGAAGCATATCTCCTTAACCATATGAATGGGGATGCCGCAGTAATCACTGTACTTGATGAGTGTCAAAAGATTATCGCCCAAGTATTCAAAAACCATACAAACGTGCTGCCCATTTGGACCAGAATGTTTAAAATGATCCAAAAGCTTCACAACACATTTCTTATCATCTGGGTCACCCTCTGCAATTTGTTGTAGGATGGTTATCTCATCCATTGCAGCCTCAGTGTAGTGCTGAGCACTCTTTTGTACTTTCAGAGCAACATACCTCTGTATTTTTCAATTGCTCAAAATCAGAAGCAAAAATGAGAAACTTCTCATTCAAATGTCATATGATTGCTATTGAACGATGTAAGAGAAAAGAAATAAAGATGAATGCTTGTAGCAGAACATTCAGCTGTTTTTGTTGCAACAGTAATAAATAATCAAAATGCACAAATACAATTAAATGAAGACTCAAATGCACAAGAGCTTCGATCAATTAATTTTCAATGAAAAATACGAAGAACAAACACTTCAATTAATTGCCCTACATTGTGTGGGAAACCAATTGATGAACCTCCAATAATCATACAGAAGAGATTTCTAAAAGTTGATGGCCTTTATAGACAATCCTATCAACATTCAAATGATCAAATTGGAAAACCGCAGTAAGATACAGTGAAAAACAACACAAGTATGACAGACAAATGAAGCAAATGGACAGAAATGTGATTATGCAACTTAACAAAATGGCATGCAAAAGCAACTTCTCTGGCTTATCAAAACCTAGGTTTTCTAGACATCTAAATCTGACATAAAGCACAAAGGGCATACCTTCATTATTGTTCATCTCTTTGCTAAGTATTTGAAACAAGAAGGCATACATTGCAGCTTAAAATTCAACAAAGCGGGCGGTTGTCCTAATTCTAGATAAACCCAATGAATATATTTACACTAAAATGAAGCACAAACAAGAGTTCAGTCACATCCATGAATCACCAACCTAAAACGCAACGATCATGGTAAAGTCAAAACAAATTCCCCAACTCAGCTGCAAGATCAACGGAAACCCTCCCACACAAATCCAGAGACATAACATAACACAAGTCAATATGATAAATACATATTTATATGGACATTGAGAGAGAAAGAGAAGTACAGAGGATTGTGTATCCCAAGCAAGCCAGACGGTGGAGAAATGTCCCCACCCTAGCTTGGTCTGGACAACATAACGGCCGTTTCTGAAGGTGTCTCCGATGCGGACAGCGTGATATCCGCCGCGCCGGTAATCTTCGATTCCTTCATCCTCCGATGTGAAGTCTCCGCTCTCACTGCTCCACTCCTCCTCCTCCTTCCTATCCTCCATCTCCTCCTCCCGCTACAAATCGCCCAAAAGTTGATTGATCGACAAGGTGTGGTAGTACAGTGGACTGGATGATACTTTCCTTGTCTTGCGGGTTTGTTTCAGTAGGGGAGATGGCAGATGTGGGCAGGAAACTTCTCTTGAGTTGGATTTAAGCAGGTGATTTTGTCCTGAAGTAGAGGATTAGACTCTGGATTAGCCTTCTTCTACAACGCGTGCGAAAGGAGGAGCGTTGATCGAGTTACCAGTTAGAAATGGTTTAGTGTGGTGTCATCATCACTATCATCAAAATAATGAGTTTTTTTTTTTTTTGAACTTGTAAAAAATAACAGAGAAAAAAGAAAAAGGTGGGTAAGAATCTACTAAACGACAATTCATAGCGATCTTAAACGACGTCCATTCGACTAGTACAAAACGACGCGGTTTCGGTTAATTATAAAACGGCGCCGTATGCTCGGGCTAGAAAAACTCCTTTAGGGTTTTGTTCCAGCAGATAAAGTCGCCGTTCCTCTTCTTCTTTATTTCAGAAGCTGTCGCGCGTGAAGAGGAAGAATCCTTTGGGTCCTCTTTCGTTTCTTAAGGAATTGGCGGCGTAAGGGAACGTTAGCATTCAAGTTAAACATTAGTAGGTAGGTTTTTATCTTACTATGTCGTCTAATTTCGTGAGATTACAGTATGCATGTTTTGTTGAGAGGAATGACGATGTTGAATGGAATAAATTGATGTATGTGGTGGCAGGTAGCTAAATGTGTCTGGATTTGATGATTACGTGTGTTATAAATTGTGAAATTTTTCTGTGTTTTGCGTTGATGGAAACTCCTTAAATTGGGACTGAGTACTTAGCATGAATGGTTATTGATTCCCATTCTTGAGTATGTTGAACTTATAGTTTAGATTCAGACTTTAGGAATCAATTAGCCCAACATTGGTGTTCTGCTTCAAGTGTGATTGTTTTGTGGTGCTTCCGTCATGATAATTTCTGCTTTTTTTAGTGCTTATGTCATATCCTTGTTGATCCATCCTCGAGCATAAGAAGGTTAATTTTCTGTTTCTTTTAGTGCTTCTAGATTTTGTTTGTTATCTATCCTCGGGCATAATAATCTTAGCTTCTGTTCCTATAGTTTTTCCAGATTTACTTGTTATTTGTTTTCGGGCATTATTATCTTTATCTCTGTTTTTATTTCTTCTGGTTTTTCCTTGTTTATGGGACAATAGTTCTGCTTGCTAATGTATATGCATGACTTGGGAGTTTGAAATGACCATGGAAGAAGACGGATGACATGGGCCTAGTCATTTCAGTCATTACGCTGAGTACCAGATATAAAAAGGGATTAGAAAAATATAAACAAAATAAGATTAAATTTACCCATGTTATTATTATTATTATTATTATTATTAACTTGATCACCTTTTACTTTTTTGCTATTATTTTATTCTTAACATAAGATATTAGGATTACAGCCATTATTATTTTACAAAGGTATCTTTAAGTAGTTTTCTATGACAAGAAAGGGGAGTTATTTTTTTTTTTACCAATTTTCAATGAGCATAATTATTTTATCAATTAAAATAGTGAGAAAAATTATTAATTATTAATTATTAATTTATGAAGATAATATTCAACAAGGCCTGGCAACCTATAAGGCTATTGGGCCATCGTGGGTTTTTAGGATGAGTCAGACTAGGACTCGATCCGGCCACATGTGAATCTTTATATATAATGTGTCTTCACTTTTGTGTTCTAGGGTTTCCGCAGAAAAGGAGGTACAGCAGCAGCAGAGTAGCAGCCATGGTTCTTAAGTAAGTTTCTCCTCTATTTTCTCTCGATATGCCTCTTTGAGTAGCTATATGCATCAATGTATATAGTTTTAGCTTCAGTTAAGAGGCAGAAATTAATAGATTATTAATTGATCTTCTGTGGTTTTTCGAGGGGACACTGTTTTTTCCATAAGTGATCTCCATGATCCCCTGGACATTAATGTTCTTTAAGTTTACCTTGACTTAGTGTAGTAGATTCCTTCAGAATGGAGACTTGAATCCTTTGGATTCAGGAAACAGACAAATAAAAGTATTGTTGGATTCTAGAAAAAGAGAGATAGCAGGTCAGTCTGCTTGGATTTGCCATCCATAATTCATTAGGTTCAGAATTTCGTTCATGATATGAATGACCTTTAATGATTGAAATTAAATTAAATTATTTTAAGGCAATATTTTGTTGAAAAATTCCTTTTGATTAGTTTTGATGAAAATGCACATGTCATTAGAATGGTTTCCTTGTGGCCCACATCCTTTTCTATTCTACATCATTTGTATGTCTAATGTGTCATTTATTGTTTGCAATTGAAATATAGGTGCTTCACAATTAAGGTTGTGAATAGCAAAACATTGAGATATTTTGTCGTCTTGGCATGTCTGGCAAGGCTTAGATTTATGATCTCAGGTTTGTGCTCCTTGCATCAGCATAGGTGAAAGGCTGAAATTGCATATAAAAGAGTAAAAAAATATGAAATTAGTTTGGGTTGATTATCATCACGGAGAAAAGCAATTGGTTTCCTGCGTAGAATGCTTGTTCTGCTATGATGAATATTCTAAACTTAAATATTGGATAATCATGTTGAGATTCTGAATCTAAAACTTAAAAAATTATTGGTATGATAGGACGGAACTCTGTCGCTTCAGTGGGGCCAAAATTTACCCTGGGAAAGGCATCAGATTTATTCGTTCTGATTCTCAGGTAAATTTGAGCCACTTTTTATTTGTATTTATGAGCTTTACCTGGTTGACACTTCTTCTAAGCGGCAAAAACTTTCTTTTTTTCATTATGGTTATCCTGTCTCTATTGACAAAATAGGTAGGTTTTATGCAGTCATGTTTAATGATAATGACTGATGCACACTTCATTTTTCAGGTTTTCCTGTTTGCCAACTCAAAATGCAAGAGATACTTCCATAACAGGTTGAAGCCATCGAAGCTTACCTGGACTGCTATGTACAGGAAGCAACACAAGAAGGTAAAAAATTACCGGTTATTGGTTTTGATTTTGAATGGTGCAGTCAGTGGGTCATAGGATCTGTCTTTTATCTTGTTTATTTGAGTGGATAATTTGATAAGATGGTATATGATAACCTGCTCCTCAACTTTTCAAAGGGTGCAGGTTATCCACATTTAAACTCGATTAGTCGAATTTGTTTGATGAGTTACTTGAATATGTTTGGGGACTCATTTTCGGCATTTTAAAGATTTTTCCTGCACAATGCTTCTCTGTTAATTAAGTAAAAAATCTGTCCATAATCAGCCAACTCATAGTTATGTCTCCTTACTATGTTAAGGACATTGCCCAAGAGGCTGTGAAGAAGAGGAGACGCACCACCAAAAAACCATACTCCAGGTCTATTGTGGGTGCCACCTTGGAAGTTATCCAGAAGAGAAGAACTGAAAAGCCAGAAGTTCGTGATGCTGCCAGGGAAGCTGCTCTTCGGTGTGTATTGTTTTTTTAGCAGTTTTCCTGTTTGCTCTTCCAGAACATTTTGTTTAAACTATTGCTGGTATATATATATATTTGGTCTTGTTCTCAGTCGATCTATGATCGTATTGCAGCGAGATTAAGGAAAGGATCAAGAAGACGAAGGATGAAAAGAAGGCAAAAAAGGCAGAAGTGATGGCAAAGCAACAGAAGACAGGAGGGAAGGGGAATGCTCCTAAGGGCGCCGGACCAAAAGGTCCAAAGATTGGTGGTGGTGGAGGGAAACGATGAGCTTTGGGAAGGATTTGTTGTGTAGACTTGTTGCGATCTCCAATTTGAATTTTGTACTTGAATGGATTTCTGGTTAATATTATTGAATGCACTTAAGCCTATGTTTAAAATAAATTTAAATTTTTTTTATAGAATTTATTTACAAATATATATATATGTGTGTGTATTAGAAAATATGATATATTTGTAAAAGAATAAAAAGGCTCCCAAAATTTATATAGAATTAAGTGATGTCATCAAAGTATTGATGAAGTTGAAATAAAACAGTTTGCCTGCCGTGCCACTCGCCCGCCACCGCCCCCGCCCGCGGCCCGTCACTATCTTCTTGGACAACTCCAACTTTAATGTTTCTTTTACTCTCTTTTTGCCTGTCAGCTCTCATGTTCAAATTGTTCTGTCCTTTATGCCTCTCTCTCCTTCCGCACATGAAATTTTTGGGATCATCAACTGATAATTAATTTATGATAGATATTACGTAAAATCAGTTACATACAAATTTCAGATCTGTTTCTAGGTAGCTCTAGTTTTCCATAATAAAACTCTAGTATAAGAAAGAGCTTAAAAGCTTAACGAGCTTATGCAAAATAGCAAAAAAGAAAAATTACGTTGACAATTAAATTAAAATTTTAAATAAATTATACCTCTAAAAAGTATAATTTTAGAAAAATTAATCACGTTGGTAAAAATTTAAAAATTCTAACATTAAACTGAATTCAATCTTATAGCTATACGTTGATATCAGTATTTAAAGAGCTGGATCATCACAGTCGGCAATACCATCCAACTCAAATGACATAATAATAAGTTAATGCAACTGATATATTTTAAATTTTAATTTTTTTAACCAAGATTTCTGAATTCTATCAACTTATTGTCCTCTTCAAACATTTTGTAATTAATTCAATACCAAACACAAAACACGTGCTTATAATTTAATATAATATTATAGTTCATGGCAGTTCTTAGACTCAAAAGGGTCAAGTACTCAAGCTAGTACTACTCGGAAACTCACTGGTCTAAAATCTGGCTCAATGTTAAGCACGTGAAGCTAATTCAAGAATACACTGAAAAAACCTAAGTTGATGGGTAAGATAAGTAATGATTCTAAGGGTAAGAAGGTAGAGGAGGAGGAGGCCAGTTATTATTATTATAAGATGAAGATACAGGAAGAGGGTTATATTCATCGATATTGAAAAGGCTATAATTGCAGTGATGATCATCACCCATCTGTATCTGTTGCTTGATTCTTCTTGCCTTCTTCCCTGATCCTGACCCAACTGACGCACTTTCTACCGTCTCCTCCCCCGATGTCTCCGTGTAACCTGCTGATACTTGTTTCTTCCTCGCTTCCTCTCTTAGAATCCCTCTCAGTTTCATCACCTGCATGTATACATATGTATGTATATGAAGTGTGCATGTATTGCATGGAGAGAGAGAGAAGAGAGAGAAGAGAGAGAGAGGGGTGAAGAGGGTTTTGAGGGTTTATGGCAATTACCTCTTCTTGAAGCTTCATTTTTTCTCTACAGATAACATCGAACTCCTGTTTAAGAGAATCGTATAAGCGCTCAAGCTGCTTAGCTTTCCATCTAGCTCGTCTGTTCTGAAACCAAACTGCGATTTGTCTCGGCTGCAACCCAAGCTCCCGCGACAGCTTCATTTTCCTATCTGGGTCAAGCTTGATCTCCTCCTGGAAACTCCTCTCCAGGGACAACAACTGCTCGTTCGTCAGTCTCTTCTTCTTCTCCTGGTTCATCCCGTATCTATTCTTCTCCGTGCCTGCCGGAACCACTCCATGCGCCGTCTCTCCCCCTATTGCCCCACCTGGATGCTTGATCTCCGTACCTGAAAGCACTTCAACTTCATATCATCTGAATATATATTTATATAGATATATATATATATATTTGTAACTGCCTTTTGCATGACTTGCAATATAGAGTATTCTTTTCACCGCGGAGTCATGCATTGCTTGAACATTAAGTAATCACTATTTGGAAGCTAAATTCTTTCTTGAAAGAAATGGAAGCTCTTGAGTAAATACAGACAAGAATGGATAGGGTGTGTGTGTGTATACCTGGATACTGGTCATAATTATAGCTGTAGAGGAAGTTAAAAGAAGGTTCTGGTCGAGAAAGAAAGGATCTCAAGTTTCCATTCCAGTGATCCATTTTGGTCTTCTGGGTAGAACTTCAAGTCTCCACTAAAAATTAAATGAAAAAACAAGAACTGGGTATTAATCTTATACCAGTGTCGGGCTTGTTTTGGGGGGGAAGGGTAAGAAAATGGACCACAGAGGAAGAAGAAGCGTGGTAGGCAAAGCGTTTTCTGCAAGGCTTGTTTGGATGGAATTAATTTATCTTTTGGGGTGCATACGTGAAAGAAGAAACTGTTTGGTTTCTCTCTTTTCAGTTTCTCAGCTTTTAGGGAGCAAAAAAGAACAGAGTTTCCATGGCGATATTTAAAGATCTGAGAGAGAGGTTTGAGTCGTGTCGGCTATGGAGATGGAAGTACTGAACTTGAAAATGAATGTGAGAGAGAGAGAGAAAGAAAGAGAAAATGAGACTGAAATCAAAAGTCTCCATCTCTTCTGGTCCCATAAAACTTGCCCTCCTTTATTTCTCTCTCTCTCTGTCTCTGTGTATATACAACTGACATTATGCCTTCCTTTCTCACGCCTCCTCCAGACGCTTCTCTCTCTGTTTTTGTATCTATGTATGAACGTATAGGTGTAAGTATATGTGGGTGCATGGAGAAGGCGACGTGGAGTTGTAGTAGTACGTAAAATCAGTACTACTAATACTGCTACTTGCACAGCACCACCATCAAAGCCATCTCTAGTACCGAACGGATCAATAAAGACAAAAGAGTTAAAATAAAAGAGGAGGAGAAGAAGATGGGGCTCATCCTATTTTTTCTCCCTCTCCCCCTTTCCCCCCTACCCTTGGATCAACTTTCAGTCTTTGTTGGAGATACATTAGAAATTCAGAAAAAGGAAAAAGAAACTCCATGGATTAGTATTCAAACCTTAATTACTTCATTTGCAAAATTTAGTTAGCATTTATACATTTGGTGTATAATTGACTCCATTTGTTGATTTGTTGACTCGCATTCTCTTAATATGTGGTAGCTTCACTCATTCTTAGCATTAGCTTTGTACTTTTTATGCACAACTTGGGTGGAAGGTGAAAAAGACATTTCCTTTCGAAGATGGTTCGAATGATCAGTGAAATACCATTTTGAAAGAACTAAAAAGTTTAACATTGTGTACGAGTAGCACGTAAGTCTAGGTCAAGTGGGTTTGCTTGCTTTGAATGAAAGGCAGCTGAGGATTGGTTACATATCCCAAACTCCTAAGGGACACTTGTTACTCTTTGTCATTCAATCAGAAATATGAAATTTATGAAAAGAAATCGAATTAGGGTTATTAAATGTGGGAATAAAAAGGATTGGTATCCATACATTACCTTGGTTAATAATATATATATATATATATATATAATGGCTTATATTTTGGAGGGGACATGTCATAGAAATTTTTGGGTTGATTTAAATGTTGCATAGAAGCATAGTGGGCACATTAATTAATTAGAGGATAGGGCTTGGTTTACAACAGTGGGAATTAATTTTAGTTGCAGGGGAACAAGAAACTTTGCTGGAAGCAGTGCGAGCAGTCGGGGGTATAGGGAGACAGATGTTGTTCAGATCAACAATCAACATTGACCATAAAAATTTACCCACAACTATATTTTAACCCACTGTCAAAATCAGATCTTTACCCACCATAGTATATATGTATATATACGTACATCCATTTCAAAAATTAGACCTATTAAAATTATGGTACCCATTGTAAAACTGTGAAGCGCAGACCAACTCATGATTTCTGTCTGCTAAGCTTCAAAAGTCCACAATTCAGATTTACCCATAGCCAAAAAAATCATAATAAGCTGCAAATTTAATAAGTTACCTAAAAGGTGAAAGAATTTAGAATTATCCAAACAAAACAACAAAAGAATTATAAGAAATCTTAGTATTTCATACCCAAAAAAAAAAAAAAATGATAGTTGTAGTAAAAAAATGTTGGAAGTAAAACCCTAATTTCTTCAGTTTTTCCTTTTAAGAAAAGCTTGGCATCTGGGTTTTGCTGGAGAGTACTGGGCCACCTAGTGTACAGCAGTGGGGGAGCAGAATTTGGATTGCAATAGATTAGGACCATCTATTCTCCTCTTCCCACCCTTCAAGCTTTACTAACGTCATCAACACTGCATAATTCAGATACATACTACAAAAACAAACTATACATATATATATATATATATATGTATGTATATATTTTGTACTCAAAGAAATATCAAATAAAAAAAATTCACCCTCATAAATTAGTTTGTCTCCAAGATCACTCCACTGATTTATGCAACAAGTGAATCATTAGGAATTCATCCCTTTAAAACCATCAAAATTAAGTTTGAATTAATCCACTTACAAATGTTTAATTGTTCAAAACTTATGAAATAAATCAATCATTTTGGCTCATTTGATCTTACTACATAAATCAATTGAAGTTCAAATTAGTTTAACTCATTTGATTTAAGCATAACTAACATATTTAAACAGATTGAACCCTTTATAACTGTACTCCTACATCTATCTAAAGGTAAAATAACCTTTTTCACTAAACGAAACATTTAAGAATAAGGGGTTATAGATGTTTATGTTATATATTTACACCACCCCACATTTGGTTACACTTACCCTCTCAACTGGTTCGTTCAGAACATACTTTTAATTACCACAGTCAGAAGCAAGACCTTATGAAAATAGGTCCACTGATAGATGATATGTCCTAATCTTGGACAAATATTAACTGTAGAACAAGCAATGGGTTCAACATGAAATCCACCTTCATTGCCACTGAAGCAATCCGGTGAATGTAACTAAGAACTTCGAACTAATTCTTGAGTGTGTGTGGTTAGAGATGAACTAGAATACCAAACTGATATATCTCCCACTGACAGACACACGAAGATTCTTCGTAGACTTAAATTATGATTAACTACTAAATTTCAAACAGTTTAAAGGAACCAAACAGGGAAGGCACATGAAAGTGGCTATTTTGCAAGATTGAGCTTCAAGGGTTTACAGCAAGATTGTACTGAAAGCAGAGTGATATAACTCTTTAAGTGACAAAAACTTTAAAGCATGGACAGCTAAGTTAGACACATTTCCAGGTTTGAATAAATGAGCTACCAGATGGTACTTCACCTTTTCATGAGGCCTGCACAAGGAGCTGATAATACACAGGCGGCGCCGGCCGGCTTGTGGACCATGAAGAAAGCATAGCATCAAATGCGAAAGACAGGAAATCTGCTATCTACCAGAGGCTGCCTTGCTATAAGATAATATGCACTGTATGATATTACAGCAGAGCTGTAAAATAATGTTGCATAACACTACTGCTACTATCAATATCAAAGGTGCTGAAGGAGACAACAATTCAACCACAGAAAACAGACACAGGTGAGTCAAGCTTGCATGATGTGCTGAAGGACAGGAGAAAGTGCAGACAGGGTTAATTTCACATTGTTTTCATGATCGAACTCAAACAACAGAATAAAGGAGATTAAATGGATCCCCAAAAAGCATGCTTGTTTAACCCATTCTTCACCTGTGTTCACAGAAATCCAAACTGCCATTCTGAAATGATGGGGATACTGAAATATCAATTGGTATTCCAACTATATTCATGAATTATTCCCTCCTTGGTAATTTGGATGAAAAAACTAAGTAAACATAACATGCAGGATAGTCTCTGATAAAATTGTAAAATAACTTGCGCACGAAAATAGTTGTAACTAGCAATCGATCAAGATATGAATATGAGCTTGATGAATCGACGTCAGCTAAAGAGAAAAATACCATTCGTACTGCTCAACATGTGAAGTTTCCTTTTTTACAGAAAACCCAAATCAAATGCGCTGTTCAGTTGATAATTCTCTTCCCAAGCAAAAAAGGTACATCTATTACTAGTAGACACAATTAACAAAACTCCTCAGACCCGGTTTCTTACTTACTTCCACTCGGAAGAGAGTTTACAGTAAAAGGAATGCAGGATACAATCTGAACTAACAAATTAAAAAGTACTGTAACTAGAGATATAAACTTGTCCAGACAAGATAAAATTTCGAAGTAAACCAATCAATAGTAGTTATGAGTTAGTTCAGAACACAATGAATCAAGCCTTTGATGAAGATTCTCAAGTTCTAAGAGTAAATATTACCAGAGGCCCAAGGAGGGGCAGGAAACAAGGGACGCAAATTGGCAATGATTGCAACAAAGAAGCTGAATTCTTAGGAGAGATCTCCAATCAATCTAATGAACCAAGGTTAAAATCTCAATACCATTCCATTTATTTTTACGGGCACAAGTAGCTGAGTAAACTGATTATTACCCCCGTAGAAGATAACTATTGAATGCAATGTAGAGGAAATCTCGAGTCAAGCAGGCCAACCTTGTCAATCAACCCAAAATCAAGTGCACCTTGTGGTTGCTCAAGTATTACTGAGCATAGTCCGGTGCTCAATAGAAGCAAACAAACCACATAGTACGTAGACTAGGAAAGGCCTAAAAATTCAAAATCTTGAATTTTATTTTAATTGAATGACTAAGTAATGAGAAAAGAGCCCATTGAGGGGATTATCTAATCTATTTTGCCCACAATAAGTTCATGAACAAATAAACAAAAACTTCTGCAGCCAAATCCACAAAACCAAATCTTTAGGTTATAATGATTATTTTGGTTCGTTCAGTAAGCAGACATCCAAAGCTTATAGATATAAAGAGTGAGGAAGAGAACGACCAAAATGCTACTCCCACCACCAATCAAGATTTCCAAAACCATAGTACAGTAAACAAATGGCTCCCAGAAGAGTTGAGAAAGAATTTTACTTCATTGCCATCCAACTAAGATAAAATGCTTAACAGCACCTGGAAAAAACAAGTTGATAAACCAAAGCACATTCTCTAACACTTATCTGCAAGGTATTAAGAAGAGACAAAACTGGATCGAATACATAGCAGTAAAAATTACATAACCACAGAGGATACAAACCTACTCCAAAAACTAGATAAGATGGCATCCTCTAAAGGATGAAATACCTTCAAAAGTATAAGCTGTATGATAAATTCCATATGGATTCTTTGTGGATCACTGAAGTAAACAACATCCTTTTGGGTTTCCACTACTTTAAAACTCCTCTTTTGCGATCTTTCAACTCACTTGGGATAATAAATACAGAATCTACACAGAGCCCACCTTTTGAATGTGTGCAATCAATCTGTTTCATTGACCACCTGACTTCGGTCACTGGCTCTTCATCACATACAATAAATTCGCCTACCTTATATTCTATCCAGCAGCCCCGCTTATGATTACCGTTCACATCATCTTGCTCTGAATCATCTAAGCAGCACTCAGTTGATGCTTGCTGACCATCTGAAGTAGACAACTCAAATCGAACTGGCTTTATGTCCCAACCATGGGTATGCTCAAAATTGCATACACGTCGTCCCAACCTTTTAGAAAACTTCCCAAGATGAAGCCTGAATGATAGAGTATATATATCGGGAGGAAAAGGAAACCTCACTACCCCATCTACCTCAAACCACCATATTTGCTGCAAATAGGCCACAACATGGAATCTGAAAACAGGAAAAAAAAAACATAATCTAATTAAAATGTGTTCCGCAATTTACATATAAAAAACAGGATGTTTTTTAAATATGGAAAGAGAAGAAAAAATAAATTGAATATTCGTCACTGTTGTTTCCAAGTTTAACAAGAGTAAAGGATCAGTGTCCGTAACATCTTTTTATCATTAAAAGTAAAAAGATTCTGAATGAAAGGCCAAACTTTTGTATCTTTCACATGGCCAACTTATGTGGCAATCTTAATTAAGTCACTACATGAAATCTCATCATCATAACTTAGTTTCTTAAGGCAAGAATCTAAAATCTAGCCAAAAAGAATTTGCTGATGCAAAGAAAATCATGTAGATGTGGCCTTTTCTACAGCATCTCTCCTATACAAAACTCAACAAACACGTCATTCTGTCCAATACCAAGCAGTGACAAGACACCATTGGGCTTGAAGACCATAACGCTATTGCATCTTACTGGTGTCTACGTAGTGCTTAATATCCTAAATTAAAAAATATGTACAAATCAGGACACGCTAAGACAAGAGTCACTATGACAAAAATCAGCTGTATCTCAAAGATTAAAAGGGAAAAACAATACATTTGTAACAGTGAAGAGCAAAAGTAAATCCAACATACAGAAGTCGGTCTATGAGGGACTATTCAATTAATAAGGGCCCAAATCCACACATGACGAGGAAGAAAAAGAAAGAGGTGAGACCATAAATGAGAATGTGGTTTTACAAGAAAAAGAAAGCATCAAAATGTGAAACGATACAAGGATTTGCAACAATAACAATCTTAAACAATCAAACACATTGCTCCATCTAAAGGACGAAATGTAAAGCATAGAAAAAAGAAAAAACATTTGTTGGGACATTTTCCCTCGAAAAGTAGAAAATAAGCATTCAAATCAAGGGTAATACCACCAAGATTGAAGTCCTGAAGACAGTGGAATGAACAGCTATTCAAGAAATAGATAAAATGAAACAAGGAGTTAATGGGGTTGAGATTTGTTGGTACTACAGAGTGATAAAGGACAAAGAGAACTTGAAAACAGAATTTAGAGAAATCTTATTAAGAATAAGACTTGGAGATGTCAGATCTCAATAATCCAAGCAATATCTCAATATTTAATTAATAATCATAAACAGTTTACTTAGTAACTAAGCCAGGGTACCTTATAGACACCAAAATATATCAAAAATATATGAAATCTAAAAAACCTAGGAAACAGGAAAATAAATTAAATAGGAAAAATTAGGAAATAGGAACTCCAACCAATACAAAAATAAATCTTCCTAATTCCTTTCAGGATAAAACTTTCCAAATTTAGAAAAGGAAATTAAATCCTTCATATTTCTTTTAGTTAACTTCTCAAAACATTTATGTTCCTTTATTAATTCTGAATCCTATTTCCCATCATTCAAATATGTCCATTTTAGGAGCTTCTTATTCTGCACCGCAAAGACTGGAAAACTTTTTCCAGATATCTCAAAAAAAGGAACTTTTCCAAATATGAACCAGAATTCAGCTAAATATGGGCTATGGCATAGAAGATGGATGGGATAACTTTCACCAAAAGGATCTCAATTGAACAGCTCTTTTATGAAACAATAGAATAGCAAAATATTGCCAAAGGAAAAGGCATCAAAAAAGAGGACATCCTTCCAAGAAAGTTTAATTGCAGCAGTACTAATTGATCTGTTAATTAATTAATTTATTTATTGGTTTGCTTACCCTAAAGGTTCATAAAGGGTAGCAATCAAGATCACATACTTGACAGAGGAGATGTATGGCCACTAAGCCATAATGGCTAAGGCTTGTTCCCTTTAATTTTCAATTGAAAGACTTAGACATTACAAATTTACACATTAATACACATAATGTCCATCATAGAATCAAGTGTACAAAAATTACTACACTGTGAAACTAGGAACAGAAATTTCCTCACCAGGCTCCCCAATAAGATCTCAATAAATTAACGGAGATTAGTTGCAACAATTCTAATACTTGCATATGAGTTGTCATAAACTTCCTATCATTTTTATGGTCTCTTCTTTCTTCTCATTTTAATTAATCTTCAAATTTTTCTTGAAGCCATCTGATTTTGTTAGTCATTTGAATAAAAAAGGAATAAATTGGGCGTATAAGGAGCAAAAAGTCCAAATCGGGATTAAAGATAGATTGATACACACTTTGAAATTTCATTATAAATGGGAATCCTCTGTACA